TTCAGCTTCACTGTCTGCTAAGTTGAAAACGGGTCACAGAAGCGCACAAACACAAGCACATACACATATACACACACACACACACACACACACACACACGCACACACACACAAACACGGTTAACCGCTTGCCAATATTCATTCTTGCGTTTGCATCAATCTGCAAAAATGCAAGAAAACAATTTAATAAGATGTATAAACAATTATGGCAAAGCCCACCGGGCGGGCCGTGCAATCGTGTGTTTTTGCAGTATTTTTCGTGTTGTAATAAAGCCGCATGGAATCCTAGTGACTAAAATTTGTAACATACTGGTCCTCGAAGTTCAGGAAGTTAATTGTGCAACTAGGTAGTTCTTGGACAAGGGAAATTCCGTTAAAATTCCAGCTTTCCAGCTTCTCCAGTTCCCGAGTTTGTAATTTTGCCGCCGAAAATTTTTGTGGGGCCGTGCGTGAGAACCATGCACAACTGGGAGCTGAATTTGAAATATTTAAGTTGTGCGTAGACTAGGAACTTCCCCTTAAAATTTCGGCCTCCCAGCTTCTCTGATTCTCGATTTAACAGTTTCCTTGCCAAAACTTTCAGCTGCTTCTGTAAGGGGTCCGGACGCGCGAGAAAGTTGGTATCGCGATCCTGGGATGTCACGTGGCTGGGAAATCCACTTGTAAAATTTCAGCGCGGAAGATTGCTTGGCTGCAGAGTTGAAATACCTGCACAGACACACACGCGCATGCACACGCATATACATACGTACAGACGTTTAAAATATGCGTTTTTATAGTGTAGCGTTATCGCGCTGCAACAGTGAGCAAAAACGCGTATTGGCGAGAGGTTGTCCGTGTGTGTGTTCAGAAGCGAGTGAACTTTGTCATTCACTTTCAATTCATTAATCAGCAAAGTTGGAAGGCTGAAAATTTGGGGTGATATTCCTACCTAATGTACCACTCTCCCGTTTCAAAATCTTCATCCATAAATACCTAAATCTTGCGTATGGACCCCCCTCTCCCTCCACAGGAAAAATGTGCAAATTCCTTTGGCTGGGAACAATTTCGTAATTTTGATGGGAGAGAAAGGTGGAACTTTGCAGGTACGAACATGTGCGAACTAAAGATTTCAGACTCAGCTGCCGCGCACGCCCGCATCACACGTGTGATCAAGTCAAATTTCGCTGTTTGGCACTGTGATTACTCAAAAACTAGCCACAAAACAACAGCTGAAAATTGAACAGAACATTTATTGTTCATATAGGAAATTGTGTACCTAAATTGAGTTTCGATTTGCACTAGCTCCACGACTTAGGACACTTCAAAAATATTTGTAACGAAGCTGCTATTTCGTTTACCAGACAGGCCACAAAGCTGAAACTTTGCAGTTATATCCTATGTCCTACTTCAGCTTGAAGGTGAATTTCCTGGTGCGAAGGCATGAAAAGTACTCAATTTTATCGCAAATTCAAAAGCAAATGCGTCTTGCAGATTTCATAATTCTCCCCTAATTCCTTTCAAATTTCCACTTTTTTTTTTAAATGAACGAGCGTTCGC